ACCTTGCTAAATGTATGGTTCATAGGCGGTCCTACGGGTGCAGCCACTGCAGCCTGTGCTGCACCTGACATTTTAACCGCTCTCCACGTTTTTTTTTTTATCAGTGGACATATTAACTATAATTATTCATAATTATTTATAAAAATAAATAAGAATTAAAATTCCAAGTAGAAAAATTGAATAAAATGTTTATTTGTGTGTGTGTATTTATGTATTTATATGTGTGGTAATGATATTGGGAATTTGGGATATAAGTACATACCTACGTGTATACTATAATTTAATGTGCTGCACCTGATGTAAATTYCTGGAACCRTCTATGGCATGGTTTCAAAATACATTACAAGTTCATTAATTTCATTAAAAGATGTTATATTTGTTTTTTCGCACAACATAGATTAAAGTCTTTCAAATAAAATCATTTTTTATGATTTTTGTGTTATCTTAAATTAAGCCATTTATTACAAAAATTATAGAGGATTATAATTTTGAGGGTTATATAATTTATAATTATTTGGTTTTGTATTTGACTTTCASAGTAAAACTTTGTGTGTAAAAAATGATTGGTCTCCATTAACAATGAAATATGGACCAACCTTACAATGTTACATTATTTTATATATATTATATATACTAAATACATTTCAGTTCAGTTCAGTGACTATACATTATTAACTTYCATGTATATTATTAACAACATAATAAAATAAAAAACTGGTATCATCAGTTGATCAATATAAAGTATGAACCAAAACGTTTAATGTGTAATAATCGCAATACCTACAGATATCTTTTAAGTATTTTGTTAATATCTTGATTTACTAATCAAATAAATCAGTTTTAATAACTGAATTAAAAAAAATATTTAGTTTTGTAAGTATCCAATATATTAACTAACAATTAGATTAGATTATATTTAATTACATGATACCAACAATAAATTGTATTAACAAATTATTCATGATATTGGCATTGACCTTGACAAAAGTATGAAAAATGGACTAATTAATGTGTAATATTGTTAAAATATTTATCTTTAAATATAAATAATTTCAAACATTTATTAAATTTGGAATTGTTTTTGTGCTTTAGTTACTTAGTTATAATATTAATATTCTAAAAGCATTCTTATTCTAGGTCACCTATATTATTTCCCCATTATTTTATAATTCTATTCCATTATCTGCTGTATTAAGTTAAGTTTGGTTAAAAAAAATATTAATAAAACAAATAATTACAAACAAGTAGTACTTGGTTTAATTGTTGAAATTATCTKATAATAAAAATTATTGTTTATAAGTAGTTCTTAGGGTTTAGTTAWGTGGTAAAAATAAATACGGAAATATAATCTATTAATAATCTAAAACAATGTTTTCAACTTAAATATACAAATTATATAGAAGGGTGTATACCAATACACCATACATATTTTAAAGTAATGTCTAGATGAGAACCACCGCAAAAGCTTTTTATTATGAAAAAGGTTTTTTTTTTTAAATAGCTGACTAGAATTTTAAAACATACATATATTAATATATATAATATAAATTTAGACTAAAAGTAAAAATCTTATTGGGCCACTTCTTTTTGTTAAAAATTCTAAATTAAGSGTTGATTATGTATTAAAATGACTGGGGCAATAACTTAACAACTTGTTTAACATTCTTTTAAACTATAAATCCTAATAAATAAAATGTACCTTAAAAAAATAAATATAATAACTCACCAGCACAAGTATTTGTAATGAAGCGTTGACAAGCGAGTGTATGTCCCTTATATTCTGGTGTTTCTGTAACAATTAGAGCTGGAGGCATTTTTTTWAAATTTTGAACTGTTTTTTCTGCTAAATTTTCCTCAGTTGGTTTATTTTTAGTGTTCTCGCTGTGTTTTTGATTTACCGAGTCTGGTTTCAAATAACGAACCAAAAAAAAACTGTCGTCTGTTTCTTCTGGAGAAAATGATGGTTGGTCTAGGTCATATCTAAATGAAACATGAAAGTTATAAATATAAATTTATATGAAACAAATTATCAGTTAAATGTTATTATATCAAGTAATCTACTCAATAATTCACTTAAAAATTAATAAAATACCAATAGTATCTGAAGAGATAGTAAATAAAATACATTTTAATAATCAGTCACGAATAACTACTTGAAAGATCATACTTTTCATAACATAGGATTATATGTTGATCATGTTTTCTTATGCACACACATGTGCTATTGTAATTAGTTTTTAAATGCTAAAGTATCTTCAATTTAAGCCACGCATTGTGCATTCATACTTCAATATAAAGTATGATTATTTAGTAGATACTTACATTCATTAGTATTTATAATGAATTATATAAATTATATATATATATATATATATATCATTTAATATTATTAACTAATTCAAGAAGTCGGAAAGGTTTATGATAGTGGAATAAAATGAAAAAATACAAATATTGTGTTCTATACACTTGACATAATTCCTTTTTATTTGTCTACCATCAATGTGWAAATGTTATTTATAAGTGGATCAATGATAATTAACAATAATAATACCTCTATCAAACTACAAATTATTGCAGAAGTCTAAAATATATCTAAACATTTTGAAAAGACTTTAGTCAGTGATAAGTTAATAGTAGCAGTACAATATGTGCTAGTAAGTTATAAACTAAAATATATAATTTTAAGACATAAAATAATAGTTAGGCATTAGGGCAAGGGGTAGGGGTCAGGAACTTTTTAGTAGAAAAGAGCCATTTTTAAAAGAAGTTACTAAACTATTATGTCCAGATAGACGCACAGGTTTTACGGTCCAGTAATCAAACAACCTTTTTTTTTTTATTAGTCAAAATTTTTATTTGACGGTCTCAATATATTGATGTATTTATCAAAGAGCAATATGAGGATTTGAAGCCACAGGTTCCCGACCCCTAAACTAGGGACTAATAACTAGGTATAAAAAATATAAAAGTACATAAGTGCAAATACCAGTGAAMAAATATAACTAGTTTTGTCTTTGATGTTTGGTAGACTATTTATAAAGTGGTTTCTTTGAATTCAAAAAAGGAATATGGCTTAGTATGTACATAATATTAAAAACATGTTATACATCAGGGTTAATTAGTATTTAAAAAATATATTATGCTTCATAATTCAATATTTATAATTTAATTAGTAAGTTAACTACTATTAAATACATTGTTTGTACTTGCATACTTATTACATTTCAATTTATCAGGAAAATAAAAATGGGCATGATAGTTAGAAAATATATATTATTGGCTAACATACTAAAATTTAATCTGAATTAAATTTAATATTTCTATTTGAATATTTTACTTAAAACAAAAATAATGTAGGTATATAAGTTATCAATATTTTTTATTCAAGTGAAAACTGTACAAAATCATTTTAATCATTTGCTTTATATTTTGTCTTCATTCTATTTCTAATTAACAAATGCTAACTGGACAGAAAAAATGTGTAAACATATTATTACCATCAATTATGACTCATAAATCACGTTCTTTGACAGATATAAGTTTTTAGCATAAATTATTATCCATTAATAAATATAGATAGGTGCATGTATATTTAATCAATGTTAATAATAACATTATAACAACAGTTTTAACAAGTATATGTAAGTACTATACTTATATACTTTAATCAAATTAAGAACAGTATTTTACCCACGAGTCAACCATCTGTGTAAGAATGCAACACCATACTGCATTTGTGTTAACTACAGAATTCAGTTTRTAACTTTAAATGCGTAGAAATATCTGATGAACCTRTATAATTTTCACAGCAGCCTAAATCTCTGGCATTATCAAACCTGAAGATTATTACGGACTTGTGTATAATATGAATGTAAGAAATTTTGGGTTAAAGCAATATTGCATTGTAAATTTGTAATATATTTTGCAGTTACCTTACTTATTAAAGAGTTCAAGTCATAATGAAGTATATTATAAACTTGAAACATAAAACTGAGACAAGGTTTGACAAAAGGAAAGATTGAAAATATTAAAATTCCCTAAAACTTGTTTAATTGAGCCACAATTTATTTATTAAATGTTTGAATAAAATCAAAAGTATTTTTGAAGGRTGGTTTGGGAGACTAGTCAYCATATGGTTTGTGCCACTACTAGCTAAATTTAAAGAATACATAATATTTAATAGATTCAATCAATGTATGACAAACATGAAAATATAGTATTACGAAATRATAAGAATTAAAAACATGAAGTGGGTTGTGTTATTGTTATTATTATTATTTTTATTACAAACATGTAATATGACGTCTATTATAGAGTTATCTAAGGATTGAACTTAATATTTAATCATTGTTGCGTGATATAATTTTTTTTTTTGTGAAATTCAGGGAATTAGATAACAAAACAAAATATAATAATACGTCTTATTAGTTTATTCACTATGTGAAAATACCTTACAATATATTAGTGTTTAATATAGGTACTTTAAGTTAAACAAATGAATGCAGTTGATTTGAAAGAGAAAATCCAAATTACCGTTATTATCAGTATTTCGGTTAGAAAATGCATTGGTTTTAATATATAGACGGTACACATTTAATACATCAATTTATTGTTTAAAGCCAAGTTTATAGTTGCCATAATGCCTGGCCAATAAGAATGACTTTATAGACGGCCAATGGAATTTTTAATTATTTTGAATCGCAAATAATATAAAAGGAAYCTATTTGAGTATTTAACTAGTATTRAAAACACAAAAACATGAATAATTAAAGTTTCATTACCTATAATTAACATTTAATTTAAGTTATTGTTAAGATATACTTTATTAATCAATTAATGTTATTTAATCAATTTTTACCAAATTCATGAATAAATTTATTAAATTAGCTGTGATTAGCAGGTAGCTGAATTGAATTATAGATAATTAATTAAGTTATCTACAATAGATTATAAAAGTTGTAATACCATCACTATTAATATGAGTCTAATTATTTTTAATTTAGTAGTTTATACCGTTTATCGAATTAAAACAGWCWAAAATATTATTATATAATAAATACATAGGTAAAAACTATTTTTCAGATTTAATAATCAAATATTTTGTTTACATCCTGATTGCGAATATTAGATATATATTATATTATCTCTATAAAAACTAACCGATCATTTATTTTAGATTTCATCCACTGAGGAATCGGGAACCCAGATGATATTGAACGATCAGCTGAACTCATGTTGAAGGTAGGAATTGATTGACTAGAAGATGTAGGTGCTGGTTATTGAACGCTGTTGCTGGATAACTGATTCTGGTTAAGAATAGGCCTTGGCTATGATACAATTCGACTGAGAAAAAAACATWCCAAAACATTATTAAAAAGATCCGTTAAATACTTCAATAGAAAAATAATAATAATKAAATATTGCATACTGACTAGGTACTAGTTTGTTCAATATAATTACACGGGAATTGGACGCAATACAAAATTATTATTATTATTATTAACCTTTGGCCTTGATATACGGTGTGGAATAAGGTTAATACGCAGACAGACGACAAGTTTGAGTGCGTCGAGAAACGAATTCGAAGAAAAATGCACATACCTTAAGGTTTCTAAGATGCGTATAGACTGTTGATGGATGGCTTTTCATTATTTTCATTACTTTGTAGTCCGGTTTGCAAAGATCGTCTGAGAGTTGAGAAACTGGTGGACAAACGCACAAACAATAAGTGAACAACTTAAACGTAGTCGATTTCACTGAYGACTGATGAGTAATGAGAATTGAGAGGGCACTGGCGAGTGCAGACTGCAGAGTGATGACTGATAATAATATAGCGATTACGAATTCCGATTTCACCTCATCTTAGATCATATCCAAGTCTGTGGCACGGTAGCAGATAAGAGCGAAGTTAGAATATAAATTTTTCACGCACAGCCTGTAATAATATAATAACAGGCTATTATTATTATATTTTATCTTTCGCATATTTTGCCTAAACAAAGACGGTCGTCAAGATGTGAGATTGTGTTATCTTTGTAGGACGCAGTGGTCTCAACTCTCAAGTTAGATATTACCAGCTACGAATAGGAACATTTTCATTGTTCACTGCCCTCAACTCCACATTAATGTTTGGCGACCCGCCATTTAAACTCAATTTCAAACGATTGATTGACCAAATAAATTGTATGGTTCCATACTTCCGCGTTTAAATCACAGAATTCTGTGCTTTAATAGTTWATACTCTTTCCACTCAGTATAACATAAAACTAAATTAATGCAAATTATGATGTAATAAGATAAATGTATACACCGCATTAGTCATTCTAACGTTTATTACTTGTGTATGCAGAGGTTAAAGTGGGGAAAAATTCCAGAGGGGACTAATGTCTCCATAAAGTTTTAACCGTTCCATATATAATTTTAGGTATAATGTCTAATGTATAAAATCCTAATTTGTTAAAGGGGACTCTTTTTAACCGCCTTCAGAGGTAAGGGGACTGAGTCCAGCGTCCCCCCACTTTAACCCCTGTGTGTATGGTCAGTGTTCGCAGATCACCATATTATATTAGTACTGTTGAGCACCAAATTTACTGACTTCTACTCAATCATATTGTAGTWTAACAACAGACTATAATACTATATGAAATAACTGTATAAGATATCAAAATTAAAGTTTTAGTGATAGGAAAAATGCTTGGCATGTAGAATACAATTATAAATAATTGTTCTTACCAGACATCTTCTATCAAAATTCTGTGTTATTTTATAATATGAAAATTTTACATGTCACACGACTATCACTGATTTCATCATAGTAATAATTAATAAGAAAGCAAAAAAGCATACATTAAAAAAATTCATACTGAATCGCCAGTTTTGAATTCTACTGATAAACTAACTAGGTACTTTCACTGAATAAGAGCATTTATATTGATCAGTAATAAAAGTGAACATAATTTTGTCATTCAAAATTATAATAATACAAATTATAACTCTTGTAGATATTTGCGATTTCTAGCATGTCTATGTAAAATTATTTAAATAAAAAATGTAATATCATTAATTTAAKAATTTATATTTATTGTCAACTTGAATAATATTAAAATACCTATAGTACATTTTTACATTTGTTATTAAATAATTTAAAAATCATTCCATATATAAAGAAGGAGTGAATACAATATTTCTTTTGATTTTGTCTAATACTTCTTGCATTTTTTCACTTATTTTGTTAGTACCAATCATTTTTGCTGCATTTTTAATAACAGTCAAAATTTCATTCAATTGAACTATGCATCTGACTATAATCCCTTCTTGAATATCTGTTATTTCMATTATTTCAGAAAAAGGCTAAGGTAAAACAAAAAAAAAGAATGTTAAATTAGTCAATACTACCAATTWTTTAGTAAATTTACCTTTTCTTGAGCCCATAAATACAGCACTTTTACCAAATTGAAGTTGAGATTAACACGTTCATAGTTGCTTAAATAGTTTGATTCAACCGACTGAATGTAATCATGTTTTTGTTTTATTAAATTCATTCCCTAAAAATAATAATAAAAGTTTGATGTTTAAGCAATATAGAATATTAGTATACCTTTAATATTTACGTTTATCAAACTTTGTTCTTTGATTTGTTCCAAGTCAATATTTGACTTAGATTCGCAAACTAAACACGAAAGAACAGCAGCAATTTCTTCTGGTTTCATTTCTTCAAACATATTACATAATAGTAGTTCAGTGACTAAAAGTTCATGTGAACCCATAGTTGCAGCTACATTCCCTTTTTGGGTAGCTGAAATTTTAAAATTTATAGCATTATACATTTGTATAACCATTAATAACGTCACCATAATTTTTTTTCTTCAAAGCACAACATCTGTACATTTTAATAAGAAAACCATATAATTTTACTAAAATAATAATTTTTTTTTTTGAAAAAAAACATTAATTGTTTATACATAAAATGCCAATAGAAAAACATAGATAATATATTAAATAATTATCTGTTAATACATATATTAATCATAATAGACTCCCAACAATCAATGGACTATGGGTTTTAGTGTGTTTTACAGTACAGTAGAACTTCGATTATTTAGACTAATTAATGTCAAGGGTGGTCCGGAGTCCAGACAAGCAAATATCCGGATGATTAACATATAATATATCAAAAGTTATATAATTGTATGAATATACTATTTATTATTGATATATATATGTAATATAATTTAAAATTTGTATAAACAAATTATTTTATTATATATTTAACTGAAACAAAATAAGCCTTAATTATAATATATCATATTCAGGGTGATTCTTTTATCAAACAACACTCATTATTTCAAAAACTATTGACTTTTTTAAATTTTTTTTTTTTTAAATTTTAGATCCATCTTGTTATAGAACTATATATTTTTTAAATATTTTCACCCTTATATTTATCAGGTAAACCATTATCAACTTTTGATTTTCAATTGACAACCTATAATTAAAATATCATAAACTAAAGAGGCTATTTTTTTTTAATGAATTTTCACGTTTAAATTTTCATTTTGCATTAATCCGTTTACAAGATATAGCCTCCCAAAGTTGAGTGGTTTTGGGTGGTGTTTGTGTGTTATAGGCGTATGTTAGAAGGTATTTACACACAATCACCCTATAAGTGTTGTTTGATAAAAGAATCACCCTGTATATACAATAGGTTATATACAATTATGAGACGCGTGTATGAATAACAGCACATGCCGTTTTTTTTTTCTCGTCTGGATGATTGGGGTTCGAATAATCGGAGTTCAACTATATACATAAAATATGTAGGTATACTGTAAACTGTATAGGTGCAATATAATTGTGATAAATCATCAATCAATAAATACTTACCACAAATCAACTTTTCTTAAAGCGGGACGTTTTTAGGTTATTTGGGGATAGCGGAACACTTATCCCAAAAGTGGGACTGTCCCACCCAAAGCGAGACGTATGGTCACGTTTATTAATAATGATTGTTTATAAATGATTACTAACTTATTTCATTCCTTGGATTTATATATTTTAATTCTTTGAGAATTTCAACTTTGTTGATATATTCATTATACAACTGTAATGCTTTATTTGATATTTGGTGTTGTAATTCTGCTATTCTTTCTACTCTTGTTTGATATTCATATAATTTTGAGAACTAAAATTAAAATTAATAACAATTTTATTTTTAAATGATGAGCATTTAAGAGAATTCTACTTGTTTTCTCCCTTCAATTAACTATTTGTGTTCAAAAAACCAACTTAGTGTTGTAATCTCTGGAGTTAGAGTAAATTGATGTAGATGCACAGAAAAAAATTCAGTACCTATATATCATCAAACTTAAAGCTTAAAACATAATTTGTGTTAGTAATTTGGCTATTTTTGACAATATTTGGGTACTCATAACTTGTATAAATATTGAAATATCATAAAAAATGCTAAATTAAAAACAGTGTTCTTAAGTTTAAGTTTGATGATAAGTTAATTTTAATACTTAAGAGGACGCCACACCCGTACATGTTGTCTCCGTTGTACAAGTGCGTAGCATGGCAAATTTTACCCTCAGCAGATCACGTTTATCTCCGTTAAACAATTTTAAAATATTCATAACTCGCTTTAAAATTAAAATATAATAAAAAGCCAATGAGATGTCCTAGATAATAATCTTGCCTTTAATTTTTATAATAGGTCAATTCATTCTAAATTTTAAACTAACGGAGATAAACGTGATCTGCTGACGGTAAAATTTGCCATGCTAGGTACTTGAACGACGGAGACAACATGTATGGGTGTGGCATCCTCTAAAGGTAACAACACAAGGTGAGTACTGGTGAACACAAATTTGGTATGTGTTAAGTGTGGACTAGAGAAAAAAATAGTGAGTTATTCACATTCACTTAAGTARGGAAATCGGACTATCTTGTCATATGTGTTCTATCCACAACATTACGACTGCAGAACGAACTCACTCAACCGTTATTAACTACTCTATCACTATATTCCAATTTTAGACAGTATTATATTCTCATAATAAGTGTATGATGTAAAAGTAGTTTAATGACCAAAAAAAATCTTTATGAATCAGTAATATATTATTAAAAATAATTATATAATATTATCAATGCGTCATTCAAACCTATACACCATATTTCAATGASATACATGTAATAGTAATTATATTATTATATTACACCTTGGAAGTAAATCTGGAGTTGTACCAAACATTTTTTTTTATAATTCTTAGCCTCAACAGATGTCATAACCTTTCAATCCTTCGGGCGAACATTTTGAAACATGATGTGAAATTACAAAACAATGTGTTAACCCAAGAATTGTCGACAAAATGAAATTATCTTAATTACTATTAAGTCACGACAATAAATATTTAAATTGGGTAGAGCTCACACAACAAGATAGTCGGGAATTGGTATAAATATAATATATGAATTGGATTAAAATTAACTATTTAAAATATCTCTTATATCTAAATTATCTGTACATCCATTCATAAAATATATTCATTATAAATCAATATACCATAATCAAGAGTATAAATAATGATTATTAACTTATTATTAATAAATATAACTCCAATGTAAATAACATTAGCATAAAAACACACACTTACAACATCATCAAATGCAATAATGTCAGACAAATCAATACTGTACACTTGATTTTCTAAAGCATGCATACGTAACATAGTTTGGTGTAATTCAAAATTATCAATTCCTAGATCTAACAAGCTTAGCACTGAATCTTCATTTTCTACTCGATTTAAAAGTAATGTTTTTTCCGATAGCATTGTAATGGCTCTCAAGCAGTGTGTAGAAATAGCTGCATCTCTGAATAATATGATAAAATTATTGATTACAACAAATTATAAATACAATTAACATGAAATAATACATTTATGAAAAATATAA